GGCCCCCTACGACCCGGGCCGTGCCCGGTGCTTCGAACGGTCAGCCGCCCCGCTTTTGGGAAATTCCGTTATAATACTGCTTCCCCATTCCGAACATCACCACAGACACCACAGCCGACCAAACAAGAACTAGAACGACACCAGTCTGTCTGAACATAGGAAAAATCATTATTAGAAAATCTGAACTGGTCTTTTTATACACTTCATGGGACAGTCCCCCTCCCTGTAAATAATGACACAGGGCGGGGCAATCTACACTTTGCAACAAGAGACACACAATGTATATCAAAATTCACACCAAGCAGACAGTCCCATCAGGAGGAAGGGCTGCTTAGAGACACCCCCCACTAAGCTAATACACATAAACAACATGCATCCCATAATAGTTTTTGCTCCCTGCAAGAACCATCACCCAATACCGAAACATGGCGAGTGCACAAACCACATGCAACCACCTATACATGTCTACATCTATATTAGGACTAGATCACCGGTACCCCCTAAACAGGCACAGGGTGGGACATATCACCATAAGAGGAGATATGGGGAGCTGAAATAGGCGCGTCTTCCCAACATCTCTACAAGTAGTGAGCTGGGTTCCACCCCTCCCGCCCCCCGCGAGCCCCCCCACACAACACCCAACACCAACGTGACTCCCTCACACTATGGGCTTTAGCTTTGCGATTGTCTGCCATAATCTTTGCGCAACACTATAGGTATTAGCCTGTGTCGTGTCCTTGCCCTGACATTCGTTCAGCACGTTAATCGGTTGTATCTGTAACACTGCGCTGCCATGAACTTGTTCTTGCACTATGGGCCCCAGTTGTGACAATCTGACATGCCCTGATAGTTGACCTTTGGTATGGCTGTCCTTTCATATTCATCGCTCCAGTTTCCTGCCTAAGAAGCCTGTTGTGAAGCTTCAACACACCATGCCCCCATCTAGACCAGTGGTCGAGCAAGCCGCGGCTCGCGAGCCCACTTTGCCGGTTCTTTACAAGAAGCTTAAAATGCTGGCACGCACTTCTATGTGTGCCGCGGGTTTGCACGTCTCCGCTTCCCCCTCGCTCCCCCTCCCTCCTCTCCCTCCTACTCTCCTCCTCTCTGGAAGGGCGGTGTGCCAGGCCGGCCGCCCCCTCACCTCCCCTCACCTCCCCTCCCCTCCCTCCTCTCGGACGGCGTACGCCGCCACCCGCTCCCCTCCTCCTCTCGGGCGGCCGCCCCAAAGTAGGACTCTGCAGCTGTCAGGATGTAGGCGGGGCAGCCAGGATGTAGGCGGGCTGAGCGTGACGAACTCCTCTCCTCTCACAGTCCGCCCTGAAGACCAGAACGGCGGCGCGAGGGAAGCACGACGAGAGGAACAGCGCGGAGCAAGGTAAGTGCATTGACACAGGGGGTCGCGGGACTTACTATATGGGGGATGAATTACAGATATGGGGACTTACTATATGGGGGGGGGACTTACTATATGGGGGATGAATTACTATATGGGGGGGGGGACTTACTATATGGGGGGGGACTTACTATATGGGGGGGGACTTACTATATGGGGGACTTACTATATGGGGGATGAATTACTATATGGGGGAGATGAATTACTATATGGGAGATGACCCCCAATTACTATATGGGGGAATGAATTACTATGGGGGATGAATTACTATATGGGGGATGAATTACTATATGGGGGATGAATTTCTATGGGGGATGAATTACTATCTGGGGGAGAATTACTATTATGGGGATGAATTACTATGGGGATGAATTACTGTATGGGGGATGAATTTTACTATGGGGGAATTGAATTTACTATGGGGGATGAATTACTATGGGGGATGAATTAATGATGGGGGATGAATTACTCAAGGGGGTAATGAATTACTATATGGGGGATGAATTACTATATGGGGGATGAACTTTACTATGGGGGATGAATTACTATATTGGGGATGAATTGCTATGGGGGATGAATTGCTATATGGGGGATGAATTGCTGATATGGGGGGATGAAGGTACTATGGGGGATGAATTTACTATAATGGGGGAAGAATTACTATATGGGGATGAATTACTATGGGGGATGAATTACTATGGGGGGGATGAATTACTATGGGGGGGGATGAATTACTATGGGGGGGGATGAATTACTATATGGGGGATGAATTAACTATAATGGGGGATGGAATTACTATGGGGGATGAAATATATATGGGGGATGAATTACTATACTGGGAGATGTATTTCAGTATTAGAACTTAATGTCAGGGGGGAGGCTCTCAAAAATTAAATGGGGGATCGCAATTCGTGGTTTTGGCGATGAGATTTGGCTCAGATTGAATTAAAAAGGTATTCCCACCATGATTCTAGATGAATTACTACATGTGGATTGTCATGAATATTTTCATGTTTTTATAATTGGCTTCATAAACAGAATATTTTCATTTTCGTTTGGTTTTTTTAGATTTGTTTTCTCTACTTTAAAATCTAACTTAGGGTGCCCAAACTTGTTATTTTATAACATGCTTAATATATTGTATAATTATAAGAGTGCCCCCACCTTTAACCTTGGTTTGCCAGCTTGCATCACCTCTAAACGCTCCTGGCCTGATGACCTGCCTGATCTCTCCTAGTCTTGCATTCCTCCTGCAAGTTCTGTTATCAACACCTGCTGGCACTTGTGCTCCTCCTGTACTCTCAGCACCATCTGTTCCACTTCCACTCGGCCTGAACTGGAGATACAAGAGAGGCCAACCTCATCAGTTCAGTCTCCTACCGGGTAACAGGACAGCCTGCCCTAACCATTGTCCGCATTAACAGCTCTAGCTGTGCACTACCTGCCTGCCCTGACCTTTGCCTACAATACGGCTTCAATTGGAATTACCTTTCCTGGTCTTTGCCTGCATTATGGTTCCAGCTATCCACTGCCTGTTTTAACCTTAGCCTTCATTACAGCTCTAGCTGTGCACTGCCTGCCCTGACCTTTGCCTACAATACGGCTTCAATTGGAATTTACCTTTCCTGGTCTTTGCCTGCATTATGGTTCCAGCTATCCACTGCCTGTTCTAACCTTAGCCTTCATTACAGCTCTAGCTGTGCACTGCCTGCCCTGACCTTTGCCTACAATACGGCTTCAGTTGGAATTACCTTTCCTGGTCTTTGCCTGCATTATGGTTCCAGCTATCCACTGCCTGTTCTAACCTTAGCCTTCATTACAGCTCCAGCTGTGCACCACCTACCATAAACCTTTCCAACAATATAGGCAACCAGCTGTTATCTGCCTGCCTTGACCTTAGCCTGTTGAAGTGGCTGTCATTCCATGGCACACACGCTTCTTCCCGATACCTCACTTTAGTCACAACTATCTATTAAAAAAATCTGTTGCTGCCCCATGCAGAGATTTACCCAGGCAGTCCCCCAGTCAAAGGCTGTATGGTAATTCCTATTTTCCCTTTTAATATTTTACATACAGCACTTACTTACCTATAGCCTTGCACTTGCCCCCCCGATAGGTTAGGGCTTGCTTACATTAACCCCCCACCTTCCAACTTGCTTGTTTGTTTCAAATCTCTTCTTAGGATCCTTTTGGATATTAAACACTAAATTGCCAAAAGTATTGGGCCACCGGCCTTTCCATGCACATGACCATTTAATGGTCCCCCAGTCCGTAGGGTTCAATATTGAGTTGGCCCCAGGCCCTTTCCCTTTCTACGCACATGAACTTTAATGGCCTCCCAGTCCTTAGTCTGTAGGGTTCAATATTGAGTTGGCCCCGCCCTTTGCAGCTATAACAGCTTCAACTCTTCTGGGAAGGCCGTCCACAAAGTTTAGGAGGGTGTCTATGGGAAGGTTGGACCATTCTTCCAGAAGCACATTTGTCAGGTCAGGCACTGATGTCGGGGGAGGAGGCCTGGCTCGCAGTCTCCGCTCTAAATTCATCCCAAAGGTTGTTCTATGGGGTTGAGGTCAGGACTCTGTGCAGGACAGTCAATTTCCTCCACCCCAAACTGGCTCCTCCATGTGTTTATGGACCTTGCTTTGTGTACTGTGCGCAGTCATGTTGGAACAGGAAGGGGACATCCCCAAACTCTTCCCACAAATGTGGGAGCATGAAATTGTCCAAAATGTCTTGGTATACTGACACCTTAAGAGTTTCCCTTCACTGGAACTAGGGGGCCAATCCCAACCCTGAAAAACAACCCCACACCATAATCCCCCCTCCCACCAAACTTTACACTTGGCAGCAATGCAGTCAGGCAAGTATCGTTCTCTCCTGGCAACTGCCAAACCCAGACATATCCATCAGATTTCCAGACAGAGAAGCGTGATTGGTCCCTCCAGAGAACACGTTTCCTCTGCTCTAGAGTCCAGTGGCATTATGCTTTACACACCACGGCATCTGACACTTTGCATTGCACTTGGTGATGGAAGGCTTGGATGCAGCTGCTCAGCCATGGAAACCCATTCCATGAAGCTTTCTACGCACTGGTTGTTGGGCTCATCTTGAAGCCGACACACCAAGTTTGGGAGGTCTTTAGCTATTGACTCTGCAGACAGTTGGTGACTTTCTGCGCACTGTGCGCTTCAGCATGCGCTGACCCCGCCCTGTCATGTGACGTGGCCTACCACTTGGTGGCTGTTGTTCCCAGTTGCTTCTCACTTTGTTATAATCCCACTAACAGTTGAGCGTGAGAATATTTAGTAGCCAGGAAATGTCACGGATGGACTTATTGCCCATGTGGCCACCTATCACGGGACCACGCTTGGAGTCACTGAGCTCCTGAGAGCGACCCATTACTTTCACCAATGTTTGTAGAAGCAGTCTGCATGCCTAGGGGCTTGATTGTATACACCTGTGTCCCATGGAGGGGGAGGGGAACACCTGAATCACATGATTGGGAGGGGAATGGAGCACCTGAATCACCATGATTGGAAGGGGAATGGAACACCTGAATCACAAGATTGGGAGGGGATTGGAAACACCTGAATCACATGATTGGGAGGGGATTGGAGCACCTGAATCACATGATTGGGAGGGGATTGGGAACACCTGAAATCACATGATTGGAAGGGATTGAGGAACACCTGAATCACATGATTAGGAGGGGATTGGAGTACCTGAATCACATGATTGGGAGGGATTGGAACACCTGAATCACATGATTGGGAGGGGATTGGAGCACCTGAATCACAAGACTGGGAGGGGATTGGAACACCTGAATCACATGATTGGGAGGGGATTGGAACACCTGAATCACAAGATTGGGAGAGGATTGGACCACCTGAATCACATGATTGGGAGGGGGTTGGAAACACCGGAATCACATGATTGGGGAGGCGAATGGAACACCAGAATCACATGATTGGGAGGGGATTGGAACACCTGTATCACATGATTTGGAGGGGATTGGAACACCTGAATCACAAGATTGGGAGAGGATTGGACCACCTGAATCACATGATTGGGAGGGGTTGGAACACCGGAATCACATGATTGGGAGGCGAATGGAACACCAGAATCACATGATTGGGATGAGGGGGATTGGAACACCTGTATCACATGATTGGGAGGGATTGGAACACCTGAATCACAAGATTGGGAGAGGATTGGACCACCTGAATCACATGATTGGGAGGGGGTTGGAACACCGGAATCACATGATTGGGAGGCGAATGGAACACCAGAATCACATGATTGGGAGGGCGGGCCCAATACTTTTGGCAATATAATGTATACTGAGTAAGGTTTACAACACAGCACCCTCGTAGCACTGAAAATCTTTTTTCTTTTTTCTCCTTATCAAATCCCATTCTTGTTGGTTTTTTTTCAGCCAGGAGACTATTTAATAAACCTAAACAAGTCAACGGCAGCAATCAAGTCAAATTAAATTGGAGAGAATGCAAAGATTTTACAAAAAAAAAAAAAAGCAGGCAGCAATAACAGCTACTCGTGTGGCATTACCTCGTTTATGAAATTAGGATCATGTACACTAAATGGAATTAGGGAAGATATGTGAAGCTGCAGTTAGAGGCTAACAAGCCCCCCTGTAATTAATAGGGCAGCGCTGCGCGCCGTGATTGCCGCTTCCTTTGTTTGGAACACTCCGATCCAACATAACGAAGCTGTATTGTTACTGATTCGGGGCAACCAATTGCCTTCTGCGTGTATCTGATTTTCAGCCTAGTGGCTCAGTTTTTTTTTAAGTCCTTTTTGGTGGTTTTAATTTGATTTGCTTTCCATTATATGAGGTTTTCTATTATTGTTTGCGATGTTATAATAACATTTTTAGTTTAAAAAAAAAACTTTTGGTATTTGTTATAAAATGGTGGGAACCATTTATTCCTTCTAGCATACATATTCTCTATCTGGGCTGCCCCAGTAGCTAAACCCCCTATGATTGTAGGCATCAGTGGCGTCCCAAGGCAGGTGCGGGGGGTGATCGCGCCGCACCGGGTGACACCTACCGGGGTAAAGAGGTATGAGGTATGGGAGCGCACTAAAAGGAACAACTATTGCACAATGGGTAACCAGATAAAACCTTTATTTATTTAATTTCAGGTACTTATATAGCGCCGTCAATTTTGGGAGCGCTTTACATATATGTATTGTACAATCTAAGGTCCCTAACCCTCAAGGGGCGTACAATCTAAGGTCCCTAACCCTCAAGGGTTGTACAATCTAAGGTCCCTAACCCTCAAGGGGCATACAATCTAAGGTCCCTAACCCTCAAGGGTTGTACAATCTAAGGTCTCTAACCCCTCAAGGGGCCTACAAATCTAAGGTCCCTGACCCTCAAGGGCGTACAATCTAAGGTCCCTAACCCTCAAGGGTTGTACAATCTAAGGTCCCTAACCCTCAAGGGGAGTACAATCTAAGGTCCCTCACCCTCAAGGGGTGTACAATCTAAGTCCCTAACCCTCAAGGGGCGTACAATCTAAGGTCCCTCACCCTCAAGGGGCGTACAATCTAAGGTCCCTAACCCTCAGGGGTTGTACAAATCTAAGGTCCCTAACCCTCAAGGGGCGTACAATCTAAGGTCCCTAAACCCTCAAGGGGCGTACAATCTAAGGTCCCTAACTCTCAAGGGGCGTACAATCTAAGGTCCCTATGTCCCCTCAAGGGGTGTACAATCTAAGGTACCTAACTTCTCAAGGGGTGTACAATCTAAGGTCTCTAACTCTCAAGGGGTGTACAATCTAAGGTCCCTAACCCTCAAGGGGCGTACAATCTAAGGTCCCTAGCCCTCAAGGGGCGTATACAATCTAAGGTCCCTAACCCTCAAGGGGGTGTACAATCTAAGGTCCCAAACCCTCAAGGGGCGTACAATCTAAGGTCCCTAACCCTCAAGGGGCGTACAATCTAAGGTCCCTAACCCTCAAGGGGCGTACAATCTAAGGTCCCTAACCCTCAAGGGGGAGTACAATCTAAGGTCCCTAACCCTCAGGGGGCGTTACAATCTAAGGTCCCTAACCCTCAAGGGGCGTACAATCTAAGGTCCCTAACCCTCAAGGGGCAAACAATCTAAGGTCCCTAACCCTCAAGGGGTGTACAATCTAAGGTCCCTCACCCTCAAGGGGTGTACAATCTAAGGTCCCTAACTCACATTCATACATACACATACTATGGACAATTTAGACAGGATCCAATTAACCTACCAGCATGTCTTTGGAATGTGAGGAGAAACCAGAGTACCAGGAGGAAACCCACGCAGGCACAGGGAGAACATGCAAACTCCAGGCAGGTGCTGCCGTGGCTGGGATTCGAACTAACGACCCTAGTACTGCCAGGCGCAAGTGCTAACCATTTAGCCACTGTGCTGCCCAAAATTAATAAAAATGGTTAATAAAAAATAATAAATCACAGTGCAGCGCTAAAAATATATATATTTTCTTTTAAGGTGCTTCAACAATGAAGTAAATGAAGTTCATAGATAAATGAATATTAAATATATATAGAAATGTTCCAAAAGTGATAATAGTGCTCTGAAGGCGCCTGCTTCAATGTTATTCCGGGTGCTTGTGCAAAATGGGTATAGTAAATTGCGCACTCACCAGATGAGCAACATAAATGCGCATATAGATACAGATCCAGATGTCCATTCAAGGAGATCAGGGTAGACAAGGTGGAGGTGGGTAATCCTTCCCTCTGAAGGGTAAGTGGCAATCAGATAATTTACAATGATCCAAATCGGCCAGAAATCCCCTAAAGGGTTTGGTTTTACCACACGGGGTGACACCGGACCCGCTCCACGAAAAGGTAAGTTGTAAAGCATGCCGATGATCCCCGCAGGATGGATGGGATCTGCGGATTGGGGAGCATAATGGATCGGAGTCTGATCCATTATGCTCAATCTGCAGATCCATTCTGCGGAAATCGTCGGAGGGGGTGTCACAAAGTTTTACCGGGTGACACCAACCCTAGGGACGCCCCTGGCTGGCATCCAGCACTTTTTTTTGGCAGGAAGGGGTTTAATGATGCTAGCTTCTGGAGAGCCTATTATGCTGGCTGCTGGGGGATCTATTGTTGCTGGGTGTGTCTTTTGTTTATGGGGGGTCTATTGTTACTGTAAGGATCTATTTTTTTGCGGAGGGGGCCTGCTGTTGATGTTGAGGATCTATTGTTATCATGAACAGCTGTTCCAAACTCGCTGGCATTTTGGGGAGGCCTCTTGTCACTAGCTGCAGGGGATCTTTCATGTACCTGGTGATGGACGTCAATGGATAGAGGGCTTCCCTTGCGGCTAAGTTCCGGACTCCCCTGAGAGTGGGACGGCGGGAGTCGGGCCCAAAGTTGCACAGGTCACCTGTAGGCATTGTTGTTTGCTGGTTGGTGGTCCACTCAGAAGCACAGCTGGTGCACGGAGATAGGTCTTCAGACAGGTGGCGCCTGTGCGTGGCATGCAAGCCCTTCCGGGATTTAGATGTTTACTGGGTAGTCTGTTGAAGCCAAGGTCAGGTACCAGGTGGGAATCAGAGCAGATGTAGTCAGATGGGATAGCCGAGGTCATACAGAGAGGAGTGAGAGAGAGAGGGGTAAGGCAGAGTAGACAGGTCCAGGAGCAAGCCGAGACTGTAACAGGAAATCACAGGTCAGAATCGCAAGAAACAGTTCACAGGAAACAGGAACAGGGCATGGGGAGCTAGAGATCATCCAGCAACTTGAGGAAGTGATGAGCCGCCTTATAAAGGCCGTCTGGCACCAAACTGAGGCTGATGTGTACTTCTGCGGCCATGCAGAGTACTGGCAGACATGCCAGATCTTCCAGAACTTCTGCTGTGGACAGGACCCTGACAGGATCTATTTTACTGTTTTTCTTGTTATCATTACCGAATTCCATACTACTTAACTGTCAAGGTCCTACCTTTTCCTAGAGGTTATGTTACTCCATGTGCTGGCATCCATCTTGGATTTCTGCAGAGCATGGTGGGAATCTTTTATGCCTTCAGGTCTCTGAGGTCCATCCCCCAGAGGGGTGTTGCTGATTACATATAAGCTTGTGGTCCGCACATGCCCTTTGCACTTGTGTCTTTGTGTTGCTACAGCTCTGTTCTGACTCTCGTGACTCTCCTGGAATCTGACTCGGCTTGTGACTCGACCATTCTTTGTGTTCTCCTTTGATCTGACCCTCCGTTGCTGAACCCGGCCCGTGACCTGTGATTCTCGTCTGCTGTCCTGTACCGTTTTGTCCCATTGTTGTCGAACCGGCCTGCCCGACTATTGTCCTTTCCACCAGCTACACGCCATTGGCGGCGGCCATTACCGCAAACTGGGTTGTCTCGGGGGCCGCGACCTGGTTCCTGGCTGCGTCAAGTCCATCCCACCATCAGGGGCCCTGGTGAAGGGCAGCCTGGGACTTAGACTCCGCACCCTGAGGGACTTCGGTCTGTGGGTGGTGGTTGTCGTCAGCCAGTGCATTACATTGTTAATAGGCCTGCCTGGCCATTCCAGCGTTCCTGTCCTGACATTAACACCACTTAGCACCATACTTAGTTCTGTATTCCTTAAAAGGGACAGTACTGATGGGTAGGGGGTGGAGCCTAAGGACGGTGCTTGGTGGTGCACCTATTTTTTCTAAAAAAAAAAAAGCCCTGCTGGTATCCATATCTTCCCAATATTCCCTGTAGGTGAGCTTGAGGAAAATCCATTCTTGGATCCCTCCATAGCACCATCTTCTATAGTCTTTCTGAATCTGATTGCAACAGGTAATAAAAATCCCAAATTTGGAATAGAGGAATAGAGCAAACAACATGAGGAATAGAGCAAACAACTGCCTTTACCCCCCCCCCCACTTCCCAATTTTCTCTTTCTTCTACCCCCTCCTAAAGCCAGTCATAGATACATTGAAATGTGGCCAGTTCAGCAGGGACCTATCAAATTTCTATCCACGTATGGCCATTCCCATTCAACAGAAGTCAATCTAACAATCTATTACTATTGAACGGGAATGTTGGAAAACCGTTATCAATCAGTTTATGCAGCCAATAGGCTGCAGCAGCAGATCCGTGTATTCTGGCAGTGGAAGAGTTCCTGCTGTAAGGGTACAATGGCACATCAGGGAGGATTCCTGGATTGGGTGGACAAGAGAATCCATTTATGGCCAGCATAACGTCTACCCTCCTCTGAGATTGTGGGAGATCCAGACTTTGCTGGATGGTGCAGCTACCTGCAGTATATTCCTTTCCTATCTCTATCTGCTCCTAGCTCTACCCTAT